CTGGATATATTTATGTATGATCCAAATTTTCTTGTTGTCTCTCTTCTTCTAAGTAGAGACCCATTCCTTGTCAAAGTGTCTTTAGTGTTCTCATTATGAGCTTGCTGGCCTTTTAAAATGGCACTTTTATTTTGATCAGACCTAATGTGGAGTAAACTTGATTCTTTTAAACTGTACAATGCTTATGAGATATTTATTTATTTATTTTGGTATCACTGAGAATAATGAGGCAGCTGTGTAAATTCCTTACCTAATGATCCAGTGATTTTAGTAAATAAAGAGTGTTTTGTGTAATAAATGTGGGGGTGTGTGTGGAGGAATTAGGAAAAATGGATTATCAATATTCATACTGAATGAAAACAAACTTTTGTCTCCTCTCCTCAAATCTAATTTCACTACATGAAGCAGTGAAGTCAGAAGGAATTGTGGTTGATTTTTTTTTCTTTAATGGCATATAATTGGCAAAGTTCTTTGCATTTATTGTGCACAATGTGATATCTCAATGTCTGCATTCATTGTGAAATAATTAACCCAATCAAAGTAATTAACATATCCAACACCTCATACTGATATTTATTTTTTGCCCACTGAAAACTTTCAAGTTCCATCCTATTAACAACTGTCAATAATGTGACACATTATCATTAACCTACAGGCACCTGTGCTGATACAGCTCCTATTCCAAACTGTATACTATGTGTGGCTTTTTGAGGCATCATACATACATTACATTAGACAATATTGTCCATTTGTTTCTCACTTATTTTCAATTCATGTGCTCTCCAGTTCATCTGTGTTGTCCTAAAGGACAGGATTTCTTCCTTTGTTATGGGTAAATTACATCACATTATATATACATATTGTAGTGTCTTTATCCATTCAATCTTGGATATTGTGAAAAATGGATATCAGAATTCAAACACCTTTCAAATAAACTGATTTAATTTCATACATACACATACACCCATACCCACTTACCCACCCACCCACACACCCACACACACACACACACACACACACTCACTGATTTCATGTCATATAGACATATGTATATGTATATGTACATATACATATGTCTATATGAGAACTATATATACTATATGACCAAATAATCACAGTCACATAGTAAGTAAATATGTTGTAGTTTATTTTTGTTTTTTTATTAATAACTGTTCTAATTAATGATTATTCCAACAGTGTATAATGGTTTTCTATTCTCTACACTTCACCCAAACCTATTATCTTTTGTCTCTTTAGTAATAGCCAGTCCAATAGGTATGAGTTGATATATCTCTGTGTTTTAAATTTCAATTTTTCAAATGATTAATAATGTTGAATACATTTTTAATATATTTTTGGCTATTTGCATATCTTCCATAAGTTAACTTCAAAAAACATGTGTTTTCCCCATTAATTTTGATTTTTCTTGAACTTCTTAAAAATATTGAGTATTAACTGCTTATACTAGGTATATGGTATGTAAATGTTTTCTTCCATTCTAATGGGTGATTTTTCCTCCTTCTTATTTTTTTTTCTTTGTAGAAGCTTTTTCGTTTGGTGAGATATGTCTGTTTTTGCTCCTAATATCTGTGATTTATAGTCTAAGCCCTATAAACCATTGTTGAAATGGATGCCACAAAGCCTTTTTCCATATGTGTTCTTCTAATAGCTCCAGGTTTTAATTTTAATTCTTCAGGACTTTTTCTGTTAGTTTATTGTATACAACCATAGATAAGGACCCACTTCTTGTCCTCTGCAAGTGGATAGCTACCACTTCATTAATGAGACTTTCTTTCCCCATTGTGTGTCCTTGGTATTAATATTGAAAATCCAGTGGGGAAGAGGTTTTGTACACAGCATGGCTCCAGTGATACAATCATTTTAGACTTGTTGCCTTAGACTTGGAATAAATAAATCTGTTGTTTAAGTCATCAAGTGTTTGGTTCATAATTCCAGCAGCCTTAGAGAAGTAGGTGGCAAGAAGATTTGTATCAGGAAGACAAAGTTAAAGCCACTGATCTTCTGCAATTAAAATATCTGGATAAGGCTTAAAATCTTTGATTGCTCTTCTCATATGGGCTTAGGGTAGGCTGCCCTTTTCAATATTTGTGACAGGCTAGTCAACTGATAGTTTCATTCATTGATTAATTTATTCAATAAGTATACACTGACTTCTTTCTGTGCTCTAGATAGTGTGGGAAGAAAATGTCTTCCCTGACATTAAACAATTGTTTTAAGTGGACCATTTCCTAACATTAAGCAATTTTACAGCTAATTAAGAGACCCATTATTAAAGTGATTTGTTAAATTTTATTTTATCTGATTATAAATGCTCTAATTGGAGAAAATGTTAATTGAGAACATTTAGGAAATATAGATTGGCAAAAATAATAAAATAAAAATAATTCACTATTCTGACACTGAGATTTAATCACAGTTAATATTTTAATGGATTTCTTTCCACTCTCTTTATAAATAGTTTGTTCATAAGAATTGAATAATATATAATCTTGAACATTTTATTGTTCACATATTATATAAAACACCATTGCAGTTACATTAGCAGTCCTTTCTAATGAACACTAGTCTCTGGCTTTGTAGCATTTATGTTTCAGTAAATTTCCTTGTTAATACAAAGACAATCTCCTTGGATATTCTGGGTACAATATATCAGAGCATGGGAAGAATCAAGGGCAGACAAGACTAAATATAATGAGACCTGTAGCCATCACAGGGACATTCCAGGTAGCAACGAGACAAGCCAGAGGAGAAGTTTTAATTAGGTGCTTAGAAGGATCTGTTGTCTGTCTGTCTGTCTATCATCTCTACCTATCTATCCATCATCTATCTTTCTATATATTTATCGGTCTGTCATCTATCTAATCTGTCATAGTTATTTTCTATTGTCTGTCAATATATAACTACAATTTATTTGTTAGCTTTGACTTTCAATAATTAAAGTATATATATATATATGTGTGTGTATATATATATATATATATATCACATACATCATCATTATTTTTAGAAGGATCACACAGTATAGCTTGCATTAATTTGTATTTTCTCTTTATGTCAAAACTGTTCTTATGAGACATCCTGTTCAGTGTGCAGTGAACATATTTTGTCATAGGAGTAGAAAATGGTGCGTCTGGTCATATGAATTTTCCAAATTGTGGTGGTCACATTTATGACACAGCCATGCTGTTGTTTGAGCCTTAGTGAGTTCTTATGCTTTACTCTGGAAAACCAGCACTACTTCTGCCAATATTTGGAGATCCCTTTGGTTATAACTTCAACATCAGTTCCCACACTGGAATTTTGGAGTCAAGCCTTTGGTCAGTTTCCTTGCTTCTGATAAGTTGTATCAAATTACTTTTTGGCTTAACACTTCTTCATGAAGTATGCTGGAGTGCCATGGCCTGGATGGGTGCTCTACATTTCCTAAGGATGGTAATACATTTTGAGCTATAGATATTGACTTATATTGAAGTTGGGTTTCACACTACTGAGATTTTAGCTGATGCTGCACTGAAATGAAAGGGATAGTGGGTAAACTGTGGTACAATGGAGATAATGGAGCATTTATTTCACCAAGTACCTTTTGACTAGGCTTATATATCTGATGATAGCATGTTGTACACTTTAAATATGCACAATGACATCTATTCCAAACAGAAGAATACATATTACCAGCTTTCAAAATGCTTTCCCTTTTGAGTCCCTGTGTCAGAGCTGGGGATTTGGTTGCCCTTATTATGCTAATACTGATGTGTGGTAAAAATCTTATTAAGACAACTTGTGCTGTAAATGATTCAGTTATACGATGATTTTGAGGAATTTGGTAAGCACTATAAATATAGAATATCTAGCACTGTTTAAAGATGAACAAGATGCTATTCTTTTTAAAAGTCCATAGTAGTAGAGAGAGGTAAGACTTGCTCATACCCATGAATAAGCTCACAAAAAAGACAGAAGAGCCTTGGACGTCCTTTCTTATAAATTTATGGAGAGAGGAGGTTAAGCTAATGCTGTCTTGAAAGATATGACTTAGAGAGAAGCTTGCAAGGTTACATGAGATTTTAATAGCTGGAGTCCAAAAGGTCATAGGAATAACATGAAGGATAGAGAATAGTGTTCAGAAAGGATACACATTTTTGGTTAATTGTGGACAGCATAGTCTGGTTAGGGCATAGGGTGAATGTGAATGCCTTTATCCAGCCTGCTAAGAGATTTGAAGCTTGCTCTAGTGCAAGGTTCTTCGTGGGTATTCCTGTCTTAGTGCACTTTCTGCTAGTAATGCTGGTGACAATTTTCAGTGGTGCGATTTTTCAGTCAAGAAAGAGGAGGAAGAAAAAAAAAGCAACAAATAAGGAGTAAAATGATTTCCATGAGATGGAACTTGTGCAAGGTAGATGGATAGAAGGTAAGAAAGAAATGGTAATTCTGACTTTGTCCTTTCAGACATTTAGATGGCTGGCTTCTTTTTTGGCTTTCACAAACATACTAAGCAAATATTTTTTTTGCTAGATATGATCTTGGCTATCCAACTAATGCCTAACCATTCCTAGCTTCATTTAACATTTATTTAGGTAACTTTGATGATAGTTCATTGTGAGTCAGGAGTCAAAATATAAGGAGGTCAAGTACCTTGTTCCAGTTCACATGCTTTTTTAGTTATCTAGCTGTAGGTATTATTTACATCAGTCATTGCCAAATATTTCTACTTCCCATTCTGAATCTGTGGACTACCTGGATCCGGATAGTCTCATTCTCATAATAACTCTTCCTCATAGCCTTAGGCCTATTTGGTTTGGGTTGACATTAGCGATGAATGCCCAAGAGAATTACATGCTTTATTTGTACCTTATTTTCTGCATGTTCTGCAAACCTATCATCTTAGAAATAGATAGAATGGCAGGGTTCATCTGGTTCAGTTTTCACTCTAGATGAAATTTGGCATCTCTGAAAGACAATCTTTGCTTTAAGATTTCACTGAGGTGCTCCCTTTGGCAGAACATATATTAAAATTAGTACGATAAAGAAAAGGTTAGCATGGCCCCTGTGCAAAGATGACATGCAAATTTGTGAATCTTTCCATATTTTTTTAAACTATGCTCACAAAGACATCGGCAGTAGATATTCCCACTTCACCAGAATCCAAGGGTAAAGCAGGACAAATATATTCACAATACCACCAAAACCAACAAATCAAAAACAAACAACCATACCATCAACAATCAATGGTCCTTACTTACCCTCAACATTAATGGTCTGAACTCGCCTATAAAAAGACCCAGGCTAACAGAATTGATATGAAGACAGAATCCATCCTTCTGCTGCATAAAAGAAACACATCTAAGCCTCAAAAACAGGCATTACCTCATGGTAAAGGGTTGGGGAAAGATCTTCCAATTAAATGGACCCAAGAAGCAAGCAGGTGTGGCTATCCTAATATCTAACAAGATAAACTTCAAACCAAAAATCAATCAAAAGAGATGAAGACTGTCATTTTGTATCTATCACAGGAGAAATCCATCAGCACAAAGTCTCAATTTTGAACATCTATGCCCCAAATACAAAAGCACCCACATTTGTAAAAGAAACGCTACTAAAACTCAAAGCTCACATAAAACCTCATACACTCATAGTGAGAGACTTCAACACCCCACTCTCACTGCTAGACAGGACCACCAGTCAGAAACTTAACAAAGAAACAAAAGAACTAACAGGAGTTATGTCTCAATTGGGTTTAACAGACGTCTACGGAACATTGCAACCAAACACAAAGAATATACCTTTAATCTCTGCTCCACATGGAAACTTCTCTAAAATTGACCACATACTAGGTGACAAAACAAACCTCAATAGATCCAAAAAAAAAAAAAAAAAAAAAAAAAACAATTGGAAATGTCCCCTGTATCTTATCAGACTACTATGCTTTAAAGTAGGAATTCGACAACACAAATCTCAGAAACCCTACAAACTCATGGAAACTGAACAATGCGCAATTGATCCATACCTGGGTCAAAGAAGAAATAAAGAAATTAAGGACTTCCTAAAATTCAATCAGAATGAGGACACAACATACCCAACCTTATGGGACACCTTGAAAGCAGTGCTATGCTACGAGGCAAATTCATTGCACTAAGTGCCCATATGAAGAAAACGGAGGATATTCACATTAGAGAATTAACAGCACAACTGAAAGCCTTAGAACAAAAAGAAGCAAACTCACCCTGGAGGAATAGATGCCAGGAAATAATCAATATGAGGGCTGAAATAAATAAAGTAGAAACCAGGAAAAAAAAATAAAAAAACAACAATGTGCAAAGAGTTGGATTTTTGAGAAAATCAACAAGATAGACAAAACTTTATCCAAACTAACCAAAAAGGAGAGAGAGAACATGCAAATTAACTAAATCAGAAACAAAAAGGGGGATAATAACAATGGATACTGAGGAAATCTTGACAATTTTCATGTCATATTTTGAAAATCTGTACTCCACAAAATTTGAAAATTCAAAGAAAATGGACAAATTTCTGGATAACTATTACTTATCAAAATTAAATTAAGAACATATAAACTACTTAAATAGACCGATATCCCCTAATGATATAGAAGCAGTCATCAAAAGCCTCCCAACCAAAAAAAGCCAAGGGCCAGATGGCTTCAGTGCAGAATTCTATTAGAAATTCAAGGAAGAGTAATACCAATACTCTTCGAATTGTTCCACACAATAGAAACAGTAGGTTCATTACCAAATACTCTTTCTGAGGCCACAATTACCTTAGTATTCAAGCCACATAAAAACACAACTAATAAAGAAAACTACAGACTAATATCCATCATGAAGATTGATGCAAAAATACTCAGTAAAATACTGGCAAATGAATCCTAGAACACATCAGAGAAATCATCCACCATGACCAAATAGGCTGCATCCCTGGGTTGCAGAGATGGTTCAACATACAAAAATATCAATGTGATCCACCATATAAAGAAACTGAAAAAGAAAACCCACATGAACATCTCACTAGATGCTGAAAAAGCCTTTGACAAAATTCAACACCCTTTCATGATAAAGGACTTGGAGAGATCAGAGATAACAGGAAACAGGAACATACCTAAACATGATAACAACAATATATAGTAAACCAACAGCCAACATCAAACTGAATGGAGAGAAACTTAAGATGATTCCTCTAAAATCAGGAACAAGACAAGGCTGCCCTTTCCCTCCATATCTCTTCAATATTGTACTTGAATTCCTAGCTAAATCAATAAGATAACAAAAGGAGATGAAGGGTATACAAATTGGAAAGGAAGAAGTCAAACTCTCATTATTTGCAGATGATACGATCGTTTATATAAGCGACCCAAAAAAAACTCTACCAGGGAACTCCTACAGCTGATAAACACCTTCAGCAAACTAGCAAGATACAAGATGAACTAAAAATAAAAAAAAAAAATCAGTAGCCCTACTATATACAGACAACAAAGGGCCTGAGAAAGAAATCAGGGAAACGTCACCTTTTATAATAGCCACAAACAACATAAAGTATGTTGGGGCAGTGCTTACCAAACACGTGAAAGACCTATACAGCAACAATTTTGTGACTTTAAAGAAAGAAATTAAAGAAGATACTAGAAAATGAAATGAACTCCTATGCTCTTGGATAGGCCATGATAAATATAATAAAGATGACAATCTTCTCAAACTAATCTACAGATTCAATGCTATCCCCATTAAAATCCCAGCAAAATTCTGACCTTGAAAGGATAATAATCAACTTTATATGGAAAAACAAAAGATACAGGATAGCCAACATAACCCTGTACAATAAAGGAACTTCAGGAGGCATCAACATCCCCGACTTTAAGCTCTACTACAGAGCTATGGGCACAAAAATAGTCAGGTAGAACAATGGAATCGAATCAAAAATCCTGACATTAACCCACACACACCTATGAACAGCTGATTTTTGACATAGAAGCTAAAAGTATACAATGGGAGGAGGAAAGCATCTTTAACAAATGGTGCTGGTACAACTGGGTGATGGTGTGTAAAAGACTGCAGATAGACCCATGTCTATTGCCATGCACAAAACTCAACTCCAAATGGATCAAAGACCTCATCATAAATCCAGCTATTCTGAACCTCTTAGAAGAGAAAGTGGGAGGTACCCTTGAAAAAATTGGTAGAGGAGACTGCTTCCTGAACATAACTCCAGTAGCACAGACAGTGAGATCAACTACTAATAAATGGGACCTCCTCAAACTGAGAAGCTTATGTAAGGCAAAAGACACACTTCACAAGACCAAACACCAGCCCATAGACTGAGAAAAGCTCTTCACCAATCATACATCTGACAGAGGGCTGATCTCTAAAAATATACAAATAACTCAAGAAACTAGACAACAAAACACTAAATAACCCTATTAAAAAATGAGGTACAGAACTGAAGAGAGAATTCTCAATAGAGGAAATCAAAATGTGTGAAAGACACTTAAGAAAGTGCTCACCATCCTTAGCTATCAGAGAACGTGCAAATCAAAACAAACCTGAGATACCATCTTACTCCTGCCAGATGCAGAGACAGCTCAGAAACACATAGAGACAGCTGATCTGAATAAGTTGGAACTAATAAGCCCCCAGATTGATAGCTGGGAATCCAGCATTGGACTGCCTCAGATCCCTTGAACATGGGTCTCAGTTAGAAGGCCTGGGTGCTCTAAGGGACCTTGGACAGCGGAACCAAGATGTATCCCTGGTGCACAAAATGTTTTGGGGAACACATTCCCCATGGAGAGATACTCCCTTAACCTATAGGCAAGAGGGAAATCCTACTCCCTGCTGTAAATGACTTGACAGATTTAGATGACCCAACCTGGAAGGTGTCAGTTTACATGTGGATTGGAGTGGTATGAGGGGAGGGTGGTTGAGAGGCAGGGGAGCTTGTGAGAGAGGGAAAATGGAGAGAGGGAGGGAGAAGGGAGAGGTAGCTGGGAACAATATGTAAAATGACAATAAAATTTTTAAAAAAGACTTTACTGAAGTAGAAAGAATTGCACTGAACTTGGACAATGCATTTTCTACAGCTGAGATGTAGAATCGAAGAGAGAAAGTCATCTTTGCTTCTAGGCATGTTCAGCACTGACTTGGAAAAAGCAATACAAGTCTACCTATGCTATGATGTTTGTAGCCTTGGTCATCCTTCCCAGTCTATCAACTCTCTCGCGAAGGACAGAAGTAATACATTCTGACCCATCACTGCATTGGGTTAACCTACTTTGGCAATCTATTTATAATCCTTTTCAGCTCCTTAGAGGACAGAGGCAATGTGAATATAAAATAATAATGGGGCTAACCTTCAAGCATTTTCCAAATGCCCAGGTGTAGTATGAGGCTTAATGAATTTGTGTTAGTGAAATATTCTGAGATCCCAGCTGAAGGGAGTTAGAGAGTGCAAAAGGTTATTAATTATTATTATTATTATTATTATTATTATCGACTCCTACTCAGAGCAAAGGAGATAGATGACTTCTGCCATGCATTATCCCCAGGAGCATACCTGCAGGTGCCCATCCAGTGTGCAATAAATATCTAATCCCATGGAAGGATTAACTCTACATTATGTAAAAAAAGTATAATATTCCATAATCAATCTGAATGAACCCCCCTCCTTTTCTTCTATTATACATGTGAATTTTGGGATCTAAAATAAAAAAAAAATTAAAAACACCTTCACTAAACTCCGTTTTTATATATTGGGCTGCAATCCAAGGAGACTTTGCTTGGCTTTGTGTCACCATATAAAAAACTCAGGGAGAGTGAATCTTCTTTGTCCATGGCATACTTTATCTGTATTGTGTCTTGTGGGTATGGATTTATCTACCACCTGTGACATCACAGTCACTTTTTATAGTCAAGAAAAGTTCTGTCAGGCATAGTGGAGTATTCTAGTAAATATAGTTCTTGGAAGAGGGAAGCAGGAAGACCATTGTGAGTTCAAGCCTGCCTGGGCTACATAGTGAGAGGTTTCAAAAATTAGTAGAAGAGGTAAATTAGGTGTGGGGAAACAGCTCTGCTGGTTTATACTCAC